CTTAGTACTGCGATCCCGATCTACAACCATTCCACATCCCTTTCTAGACAGGTTACTGACCAGAGGTAATCGTACCCAGGGTCTAACGCACCCCTTACAGAGTGTTTGAGTACTCCAAATGACAAATTCCCGTGCGATTTCGACACCGCTGAACTGCCTGTTTGTCAGATTTTCGAGCCAAGCATTGATGTTGTGGTCTTCACGTGATTGAAAATGTCATATGGATTGGGCGTGTATCTTTTCATGTTTTCCGTAATGTTCGTACGTATTTTTAACTGCAAACTAGTCAGTTTCCATTTTTCTTTTAGTAGCTTTCACGAGTGATCTTACCGAGGCAATACAAACAAAAACCCACATCCAAACGTCAGATTAATTGACTAAAACTAGTGTGATTTTGTCATCAATTCAATCCGTTCTATCACCCGCCCCCTGTCACATCGATGGACTACTCACCGTGAAACCCACGGTTAATCCAAATTCCCGCCCATTGGTCCCGGTTCACTTCCGGTGGAAGTTGACGCATTACGGACAGATTTTGCATTGGTTGAATACCGGAATTGATAATCTCAGACAAACGGCGAACGTGAGCACGTTTCACAGGATCTTTTGGCAATAGAGAGACGCCACTTGATCCTCTGGTTTCTTCCAAATATTCTATTATCGGAAGCTGTGTAGAAGGGGAGAAAATGGCGACAAAAAGGACAATCATGACCAATAAAAACTTGCCTTTCCATTAAAAACCCAATCGATGGGCGGGAAAAAATGTGATAAGCCTGCTAATTCTAGGTAGATGAGGAGAGCTACATTCGGTTTGGATGCGATGAGAGAAGTGTGTTCAGAAAAGACGAAATCATAATCCTGAACAAAGTAACGCTGAAAGTTTTCCAACATACGATAATTTTATTCCTGGACAATCAAAATAGCCTGTAAACACAAAAGTGAAGAAACAATAAGTGTCTACTTAGTTAGTTTCTGAGCTGTTGACTTACAAAAAACACCCGACAGATTCAATGAAATGTGACTTGTACGGTCGAGACTCAGATTCGTCAAAGACTGATTGGATAAGCGGGGGAGGGGGATGAGTCATTTACTGGGTAGAGTGATATGGTGGCTCACTCAACCTGAGACCGGAAAAGGATCAGCCACGGTTGAATAAAAAAAAGGAATGGAATCGGCACAAATGAATCCATGGTTGTGAATATCACCAAGTATAAAATGATACTGCAGCATTCACTGATCGCACCACATACACAGAACGAGGAACAGAGTACTTCAAGACACAATAATGGAACAACTATGAGCATAGTTCAAATAAAACAATAGAGAGTGGCGAACAACCTTGTTTTTGGAGATTCGTGCTCTCAATAAATATATCACTACTTAGGAATAAAATCGTCTTGAGAAAATCACATCATGGAATTATAGAAACTATTTCATCATGAGATCGGATTTACCACGATCACATCACATAGTTGTTCGTCCACTCATCTGATCATCGAGATTACTCGTGATACGGTGTGTGCAAGTGAGGTGGGCCAGAGAAACTTTAGTGCCTGCATAAATTGTTTTGGACACACAGGGGGGGAGGGTTATGCAGTGAACCTGCCTCGATAATCGCCCATGGACTTTATACAGAATGCGGAAAGCCTCGGACACGTCCACAGTGCGATTGTTTTAGCTAGGTGTGAAACCACTCTACTGGTGAGTGACTCAACCGTTCCGAGGTTTAAACACGCAGGGTGGTGTTCGAGAATTCGTGCAGACAATCGTCTGACCGTGCGTTCCATGTACGTTGTTCCAAAGGAACCAGTAAATGAGTTCTTCTTCTAGCGTGTCCTTACTGCACATCTTTCTTGCTCTGTCCGCTAGGCAACGAACCAGGTTCTTTTTAACCTTAAGCGGCAAAAAGCTTCGGAAATGGATGTACTGGTATTTCCAAGTTGCCTATCTAAACGCGGAATGCTGCACCGAACCATCTGATCGAGGTGTAGAAATGGCAATCTGTTGTTACACTCCATTTGTAAATATTATCCACGCACCGCGTGTATAGTACACAGTCTCCAATGGATGACTGTAGCTGAGTATTTTCAAGTTTCGCCATGAATTAGTCCGCGAAAAGCGGTCCCAGCGGAAACACCATGGTCACGCCATCCTTTTGTCGAGAGATCTCATCGTTAAACTTGAACTAAACGTTAAACGTGAAGAAATAAAACAGTTGGCTTAGGTCAAAGGGAATCTAAACTCTACATTTGAAGTTTGTGCATAACTTCCCAGACATTCAATTGTTTCGTTGATGGAAACATTGGTGAACAACGAGCTCACGTCCAGCAAGAGCATTGTTTGATGGACCAAGTTTAAGTCGAGAATTTTGTTCACAAAACAAATGGCACCTTTGGCACTGTGTTCTGACAACCCAACTGGAACAGGTTCTAACAATTTGGTGAACAATTTTGCCAAGAGTATTGGTCTGAATACAAACCTCTGAAAACGAGCTTGTCCGACATTTTGTTGTTTTGTTTGAACTGTGCTCTGTGGGATTATATTCATGTTCTGGCAACACTATCACTCCAGTTTGAATAACCGATAAACTGGCACTTCAGTGAGCTGGTTTCAGTTGATTTTCGTTGGCTGTTCACTCGGTGTGACTGTATGAGACTCCCGTAGCAACGGATGGAGAGTGATGAATTCGGTGGAACAAATCAATCGCGAGAGAAACTGGCCACAGGAAAGGTACAAATGAACCGTGTGTTGAAACAGTCTTGGTTGGCACATCATGTCGACATGTATGCGATGAGTTGACAGTTCTTTTTTCGCCCCATTGCGCCTTCAACGTACTGAAACTGTCGTGGACGTTCTCAACAGGCCGTTCACACCAAGTAACTATTCAGCTCAGACTGATCGTCTTCATCCCGGGCTGCCCCTATTGGTGTACAGAGAAAATACCGAAATACGAACTTTGTGCAATCAATCGGGAAGCTTGATTCCTCTTGAAAATCTGCAGCAATCAAAACAACTCAATTTCATACTGCAGATTACACCCCACCGTATCCTTGTCAATCGCACTCAAAACTGATGAGCGGTTGGTTGTTGGTGCTCTCAAAGGCTCCAACCAGCATCGCGATGAAAACCACATCGCATATCAAGAAAACTGTTGTACAATTTTTGCTATGGAATGTTTGAGCTAATCTCCATAGACAGGTACGATTGACATCACGACTACGATTATTCTCTAGATCTTCGGCTAAACTTTTCCCACAATTGTGGTGGACAGCTCCGGCATAGAAAGAGTTTCAAATTTAAGACATTCATGTGTTACCCTTAATACTCTCGCAAATGATTTCAGCCCGTTCATGAAACCTTTAAAAATAGCGCTTTACGATACACCACAGTGTGATGAATAGCAGATGGCGAAA